TTGTGCAATATATCACACATATGTATATTACGAAATTGCAAAACTGTGTCAGAATTAGTATAATATTTGTAACTATTTTAAATTTATCACTAATTATATTCATTGTATTGTTCTTAGGTTTTCTTTTACTTCTCTCGCTTGAAATGAACGATACTTTTACCGCCGCAAAACATGGCGTCTTTTTTGTTGCAATGCTGGTGCAAATATTTCTCTATTGTTTCGCTGGACAAACATTGGAGTCCCAATCGGAAGGATTGGCCCATGCAATTTATAAATCACCATGGTACACTTTTGACCTGAGCATAATGCAAAATTTACCGATAATAATTCTCCGAGCGGCTAATTCTCAGAAATTAACTGCAGGAAAATTTGTAGCAATAAATTTGACAACTTTTAAGGAAATTTTGAAGGCTTCCGTCTCATATTTATCAGTGTTAAGAGTAATAATCAAACGATAAGTAGAAATTCTTTTAAAAGAAAAGTAAATGGTTTAGTTTTTCTTTTATATGTATAAAATTACTTATCTATACAGCTAATGTCTCTTAAACACACTGAATAAAATGTCCAGCTTTAATCGGAAAAAACCGTTGCACTACTTTATTCGATTTATTTCTAACGGATTTAGAATTATCCGATGAAGTAACGTATACCTTTATTTGATAAAATGTAATTTCCGATAAAATGTGAATGGAAAATGAGTCGCCATTTTATTTGTTCGTTCGAATTTTATTGGATTAATATATAGAATCTCGATATAAAGGAATTATTCGCTCGTATCTGTACAAATAATAAAAGAAGAAAAGTCAATAAACGAGCAAAACAAAAATGATTAATAAATGAAAAGAGAAAATACATAGGAACGTTTTAACTACACCGAGTCTTCTTCAACCATAACATATATATATATACATATATCATTTAAATTAAAGTACAAATAAATAAGCAAAATATATTATATCTATTATATCTATAATATATTATATCTATCTACATGTAATATATTTGATTCTTAATTGTTTTGACTTTAATTTGATTCATGAAATATAATCTTCATCTTGTGTCCAGGTAGCGCGTCCTCATTATTCTCATTAACTTTATTACATATTAATTCTAAATTTATTTAATGTTGTATTTATATTGTGTTGATATACGAATCTCATATTAACATTGTTTATCATTGTGTTGTTGCATTGTTTTTAATATTTGTCAGTTAATAAATAATTTCAAGATTTTTGAACACTATAAAGATATGTGTTGTATACGAGTATATATAAGCAAGAAGGGAGCATCAGAGAGCTAGAGGATTGCTGTTAGCATGTTTTATCATAGAAGTCAAGCAACGTCGGGCGCGGTACTAATTGTAAGTTGGATGTGTGTGTGGGTGACCGGTTGAGAGAGCGGATAATCAGGCAAATATTTTTAAATCAAATGTTTTTTAATCGGAATTTTCTGACGTATATCATTAATCAGACAATAATTTGGCCTTGATAAGTTTTTTATTCCGATTGAAAAGCTCCGTAATATCCGTTTGTTAATTTTTAGATGGATTATCCGATTATTTTGAGCGGAAAAACCTGGATTTTTCTCTCAGTGCAATTGTAATTAATTGACAAGCATTTTTCTGTAAGTGATAACGAATAAAAGTATGTATTTTGACGGAACGGCAAAATAGCATTAATATTATATTTATAGGGAGTTGTATAAATTCAAAAACATTAAGAATATATATAAAACCACGTTGAAGTATAATGGTGCAAATAAAAATTTAAAAAAATTTGTAATACAGTAATTACGCGTAATATTATATATATACATAGTGTTTATTAATTTATATTTACTGTGAAGAAATGAATGTATGTGAAATTATTACCTGGAATAATGAAGTGAATAGCTTCACTAAATGCACCGCTCGCGCTGTTCCTTAGGAATGACTACGTTAGGAATGACCACGGAAGTAAGGGAAGGAGTGTAAAGACATGTAGACCGATCTTCTTTCGCACTTATTTTGCTGGCAAGAAAAGTTCTCCGCGCAAGTTAATAAAACATGAGTTCGATGAAATAATGAGTTAATATGGCGCAATTGAAAACTTATAATGTCCGATAAGAATCGAACAATCGTAAATCGATATGGTAATTTGGCAAAATTTAGTTCGTAACAACTGAACGAAGTAGTTTCGAATGGACGGTCATTCGAATTCTTCCGTTCGCCAGAATGACGGGTAAACGTTGGAACGACGACGTCGCTTACGTTTTCTCCACTCAAAGAGTATTTCTAAGAGTATACGGTTTGTGGCCATTGGAAACGCAGACAGTGTTCACGAAGATACGATGGGGCGCTTGCATGATTGCACAGGTACGTTAATGCAAGAGGGATGGCTAGTATAATGTGTATACTCAAGGAAAAGAAGGTCTTGAAATTTGCAAAGTAGTTTTGTGAGCAATTTTTTTCTAAATGCGCAATAATATTTTAAAAGAATACACAACTTCTTCTTTTAACATTTTATTTTTTTGTTTGACAAATTTATACTAGCAATAAAACATAAAAAAGTTATTTGCATCTACCATTATTTTTTTATATTTATTGGTATTTGTGCAGATATTATTTGTTATTTAGTTTTTGATACTACCCTTCGTTATAATGGATCTCTTCTGGGGCAGTAAGGATGCCGGCTCAAATATAGAATGTGTAACATACCTTGTGTCTACGACGATCGCAATCATAAAAGGTTTATGTCTTACCGCCAGTAAAAAGAAATTGGCAACAAACATTAACGCTGCTATCGATGATTGGATATCTGCTAAAGATAATAAGGAAACTAAGAAGATTATGAAGAAACATGCAGATAGATCTAGAATACTTACCCTTGCGTTATTATACTCACTATTCATTTGTTGTGGCGCATATATAGCAGTCGTCATTTTCATAAATCTGAAGATACTCTTCACGGACGAAATTTTAGTGGATGGTAAAATTTGATTGTATTCATTATTATATACTTGTCAACTTAATTTTGTAATTTAATTGTATACTAAGTTGTTGTAACATTATTCTGACATTTTCCTTTCTCCTAATTTACAGTTAATACAACAAATTGGGTGTTTATGTATCCATCTGGTCCATTGGGTAATTTGATCACGGGTTCACAATTTGCAATACTCTTGCCTATCCAGGTCGTTCAAGCAATAACATTATCCATCTTATTATGTATCGCGGACTGCTTCTTCTTTAATATCACGATACATCTCACTGGTCAACTCGAATTGCTTAAGAACAAATTCAAAATTTTTGCAAACGAACCGGACACCGAGGCAAATTATCGAAAGAAATTTGTCGGTTTGATTAACAGGCACAGCGAGCTAATGGAATTGTATGAAAATTTGGAAGATAGCTTTCACTTTCTTATATTATCTCAACTTGTGGTAACGACAATTATGCTTGCAATGATAGGTAATGTATATCGAATATTTATTTCGTATTTATTATATAATGCAATATATTATATAAAATCCACACACACGACATATTTGTATGAAAATTGAGGAGACCATAGATATTATATAGACGGAGCATAAGCTCAGCGGGGGAGACAGATTCGCGGTAAGGAGAGCATATCTATACTTCGGCTATCAAAGGATAGAAGATATAGCGATGCTTTCAGCGTTGATGTGAGCCGAACCGGCCAAAAGCAGTCGAAAATGACCAAAGTATAGACCTGGATATTCCGACTCTTCCCTGCTTAAGGCTTCCGCACAATGAAAAATATAAGGAACAAGGAATAAATATTAGCGATTACAGGAATAAAGCTAGTGTAGCATTAATACACGGCTTCCGATAGGTTAAAAATCTTTTGCCTGTGTTATTCCCTGTTTCTGTTACCTGTGTTTTTCATAGTGCATCCAACTTTATTCCTGAATCCTGATTCCTTAGTCCTAATCGCTAATATCTGTTACTTGTTCCTTATATTTTTTATTATGCGGAGGCCTTTACACACCCCTCATCCATAGTGGCAGCTTATGCTCCCTCTATATATGTCTATGAAAGAGACTTAATTATAATATATTTTATTATTTAAGTTTTCACACTCACGCAGTTAACACGTTTGTACATATCTTAAAATAAAATGTTTATTTTTAGGATTACGTTTAAATATATACCTGAACGAGAAAAATTATATTGAAGCAACAAAGAGTGTTCTTGTCTTGAACTACTTATTAATGCAATCATTAGTATACACGTATGGTGGTGAATACCTGCAAAAGGAAAGCGAAGGCATATTCCATGCGTTATACACAACTTCCTGGTTTAGGCTTCCTTTAACGTTGATGAAGGATTTGCATTTCGCGATGATGAGATCGAGTATTCCGTTTCGCTTAACCGGTGGAAAATTTTTCTTTGTTAATCGCGAGACAATGATGTACATCTTCAAGACATCGGCCTCGTATATTTCAGTTTTACGAATAGCGATAAGAAAGTCATATAATCAGTAGCATTCATGTGTGCGTATATGCGTCGTGTGTATGTCCGTACGTATGGCGAGATTAAAAATTCTTCAGAGATCTTATGACAACTGATACTATGTGCAAATATGGATTAAAAATATTTTGAAACTATTCACTTTGGCTTGCAGTAAAGAAAAAAGATGCCATTTATTTGATTAAACTGAATCGTTCACAACGTTTATGTCGCATATCAATCGAGAAAAGAACGGGATATTTCGCGGAATTAAATTTTGGAATTTAATATATTTGCAATTTACATTAAGATACATTGTTTAACCCTTTTAGTACTATGGACATGTAAACACATCTAGCAAATGACACACTGAGGGTTATTGGCGAGTTTATGCATTTGCTGAATCGGAGCGCTATAGGCATATATTTTTATGTGAATTTAGTCTTAATAAAATTTTAAAATAAACAAAAGCTTAGCGCTAACACGTGCTACAGTTATGATATTTCGCGCACACACGATCCATTCATTAAAAGTATTTAGCACTGAAAGAGTTAATTATAAGGAACGATTAATGCACCATAAAATGTCCGTCATGAATTCTGGCCTCGACTTTACATTATTATTATTATGTTTTTCTTTATATTGAAGACATATAATTGATCAAATGTAAGTTTTAAAATTATATGTACATTGTTTATTTCAGTTAGTCTTATATTGCCGATTTTTCTTCACAATAGTTTTTTTATTTTTACGCTTATTTATTATATCTAATGTTTCCCCTTTGTTGCAGCCTTCTCTTATATAGATTATATTTTAGTTTCTCACTGTTTTAGTAGAAATTATCAAAAAAATTCGAAGACATAAGAAACGCTTCCTAATAAATTATTATTAATAATGTATTATAAAAAATGTTTTGTTATTATTGTTTAGAAAGTTTAGTTTATTGAGTAAAAATGTTATATTCAAATATCACACATTTTCTCTACAGTTTCTTCTATTACGTTTTATCTCCATACATAACATTATTCTTCTATTTTATATATCTTATTAAATATCTTCCTACCGGGGAAATAATGTATAAATCGTTTCTTTTCAGAGAATGCTAGGGCAACAATTTAAGAAAACGTTTCATTGTTGCAGCTGTAGATCTTTTATTTATCCACAAATACATCCTAAGCGACCGTAAATATTCATTTTCAAGACGAAGTAAGTATTATCGAGAACAATGTCGCATCGGGTATAACTATATTATTTGTGTAAATACATATAAAAACGTAGGGTATACTTGCGTTCTTAAAGGAAACGGTAAGAACTGAAGGCATGAATAATAAATCAGAAAGAAATCCAGCTGGTCGGTTGCACTACGGAGGGGTTGCTTTAAGTATTGTAGGTACTTGTAATAAATTGAATATTGAATGATGCGGTTATTTCGGAGGAACGTAGACAAAGAACGACAGCCGCTTTCAGGGAATAACAATTTGAAAAAATACTTGGAAGATTCAGTATAACAGTCAGCAGACGAGATCTTACTCAAGCGTAAAGTTTTAAGTGCTCGAGAATGGGATCAAGTACGGATTGGAATACTGATACTCCACATATTTTGAAATTTTATAAAAATTTGCTTGGCATAATTGGACTCTGGGTATTAGATGATAAAAATGTATTCTCGAGGATTCGATGGTTTATATCGACGATAGTGGAAGTAAGTTATGCTTCTTTAAAGTAATTTGTATTTTTACATATTCGCATATAAATATTTGAACTTGTTTTTTAAATTTCATTAAACGTAATACTATGTTAAATTTTATTTTGTTTTTATATATTTGGGGCATTTCATATATATCTATATATATATATATATATATATATATATACATATATTTTGCCTTAATAAAAAGATATTTTGTTACATTTATCAAATAATTATTAAACGTTACATGTATAGTAAATTATATATATGTTTGCAATGAAATAAAAAGATATTGAGACGCAATATCTTCATTTCATTTTCGTGAATCAGATGAGTACCTTGATCACCATGTCATTAGAAATGATTCGACATTGTAATGGTCATGAGGATGCCATGGATGCTTTTCTACTATGCTTATCGTCAATAACTAGTATGGTAAAACTGCTTTTGCATCGCGTATATTGGAGACAAAAATTTATTCTAATGGAATCGGTCATCCATGATTGGACTTACGTGAAAAATTCTCACTCTCGCGACATCATGATAAAGTATGCGCGCATAGGTAAACTAGGCTCTTCGATATTTTTATATATCGGTTATGCCTCGATCATATTCGTCGTTTCCACTTTCGTGTTCGCTAATATTGATTTGTCTTCTGAAAAGCAAATTTTTAATGAAACGTACCAAAGAAAACTGATGTTAGCGACCTATTGCGTCTTTGGAAAATATACATCTTCTTTCGCTAACAGCGCCATTGAAGCTTTACAGTTCGTACAGATCGTCGTTAACGTCATTTCGCAGTGCGGGAATGACGGGTTCTTCTTTGATCTCACGATGCACATGTGCGGGCAATTTGCAATTCTCCAGATGAACTTTACTGAATTGGGTTGCGAAGAATTTTCCTACCGCACTAAACTCAACATCTTATTAAAGAGACATTATCATCTTATATATTTGTCGCATTATTTAGAGAGAGCATTCACTCTGGTCATCTTGGCACAACTTTTGATGAGCGTCCTTGTCCTGTGTGTCGAAGGTAGACATATTTAACGTAAAAGTATTTTAAATAAATAATAACCAAATTTATTTTTGTAAATTTTTTGAAATTTATATTTGTTACTTATTCCATGTGATATACAATTAGTTATTTGTGTAACAAGTGCCATGCTGTAAGATGGAAATTGGACGTGCAGAGTGGACGCACGAGTCGGAGGCGAGTGCGATCACCCGCACGTCCAATTTTCAACTTAACACACGTGTTACACACCCTATTTTATATTACAAGTGCGTGGAAAGTGGTCTATCACGCGCGCGTCGCGCGCGGAATGGGCCACTTTCCACGCACGTGTGACACAATATACATATACATGCATCATATATACATAACTATGTATGTATGTACATTTATGTACGATATAGAATAACTAATAAATGTAAATTCCCTAATTTTTACAACAAAAAGTTAAACATGTATGTATATATCTTACATATATTGCAAATAAATTACAAAGACTGTGTCAGAATTAGTTTAATATTTTCAACTATCTTAAATTTATCACTAATTATATTCAATATTGTTGTCAGGTTTTCTTTTACTTCTCTCGCTTGAAATAAACGATACTTTTGCCGCCGCAAAACATAGCATCTATATTGTCGCACTGCTGGTGCAACTTTTTCTTTATTGCTTGGCTGGGCAGACATTGGAGTTCCAATCGGAAGAATTGGCCTATGCAATTTATAAATCTCCATGGTACACTTTTGACCTGAGCATGATGAAAAATTTACCACTAATAATTCTTCGAGCGGTTAATCCTCAGCAACTAACTGCAGGAAAGTTTGTAGCAATAAATTTGATGACTTTTAAAGAAATTTTAAAGGCTTCCGCCTCGTATTTATCAGTGTTAAGGGTAATGATTAAAACGTGAGTAAAAATTTTTTTAAAAGAAAAGTAAATGCAGGTTTAGTTTTTCTTTTATATAAATAACGTTATTTATATAGCTAATGTTTGTTAAACAATAGTAATTAATTGATAAGTTTTTTCTGTAAATGATAACGAATAAAGATATGTAATTTGATGGAATGGCAAAATTGCCATGCAAAATTCGTACATGTCTTAAAATAAAATATTTATTAACAAATTTAAAAAAAAGGGGGGCTAGCGAACAAAGTCCGTTAAACAGGTCATACAGGTACACGCACTCTTTCCTCTCTAATATACATCTCTAATAAATCTAGCTTTAACATGACATAAGGACATTCCGAGCAGACTTATGACTTCCGCTTTTAGGCTGACTTATGGACGCTCTATTGAAGCCACATTTGTAACCGAATGTCTCGAATGGGTCAATTTACCACTCTCCTCCTACAT